CAGTATGATCACCCACCCCCGAAACACACATTGTTCTGAGTAAATAACTTCTAACTTCCTTTGCTCTCATTGTGCTAGTGATCATACTGCAATTTCTTGCTATCCTTTGTACTAATTCCCTAAGCAGTGGCTTTCAAACTTTGCCGGCTATCCCCACAATATGGCCTACATTGACGAATTACCCATGTACATACATAAATAAAACCCCAAAAGAAATGAAACAGTACTTCCCTACATGCACTGTACTTTTCCTTTCGTAACTTCCTTTTTAAAAAGCTAATCATAACCCAGTAATGAGTATGTAATGACCCACAGTTTAAAAGGACTCATTTCCACCAGGTTAATTCCCTAATAGTGATACACATAATATAGGCTGGTTGTTTAACTTATTTGAAACCAGTTTTTGGCTCTAGTTATATGCAAGACTACCACAGAAACCTGATAGTGCTGAAAACTTTAATGCCCACTTAAGTTTCTCAAAGGTGCTCGTAATCATTCTTTATGTGGAAAAAGATAAATACCTTTAAAACAGTATGTACTTGGAAATTGAAACCATCTATTTTTGTTCTGTTTTAGTCAAATACTGGAGATAATGTCAGCAGTAAGAGATGAGGATTCACTGGAATTAGCCAATACGCTATATAACAATACCATTAAAGTATTTTTTCCTGACATGTAATTGGTATGTATTTTGCATCATGTATGCGAAGTTTCATGATAAAACTTAATGAAAGTTACAATAAAGGAATTCTCTGGAACTTGTCTAAAGAGATTATATATCACAGCACACTATCCCCCTTATTTTTATCCATAAAGTCAGGATTTTTTAATGTCAATACCTTAGCTTAAAAGAATGAAAACCCTCAAGTATTTCATTTTATAATCTCTTCAAAAGTATGAAAGGACAATATTATGTCAACGTTGCAAACACAGAATGGCTAACAAATATACTTATTTTTACATAAAAATTAAACATTCTGGTTCAGACCAGATATAAGTTGATACATAGCTGATAAGTGCCTATTTCTCAACTCACACACTGTCCAAATCTTGACTTTCAAACTCAGTTCAACTACAGTGCTACTCTCAAATTTCAAAAAGTCCCAATCACTTCTGGCAGCCTACTTTTTCCTTAGCTTATAAAATATTCTACATAAATCCTTTATCCTCTGGTCCAAATTATTTTATTTTCTTGATTTAGTGTGGTTTCCTCTGATTTGCATTTTCATTCTCCCACTCATCTTAAACACTAGGGGCCAGAGTCAGATGCACTATACACTTTCACTGAGGAATCTTTGGCACAGTTGGCGCACCATATTATCGTTATCTATCAAAAAGCTATTTGTTCAAATTTTGTCATAAAAACGTGAAAACATTTTATTCTATGTACAATAATGTACACAAATTTAAATAGGTCACCAAAGAGACCAGAAGTAATTCAAGAGGTATATTTACAGTAGCACATCACAGTAAACGGAAAACCATTCACAGATTCAACATTGATACTGTTTTTGTGCTTGGTTACACAATGAAGTGAAGCATATTAACTCCATTTTGGATGAACTGAATTTTGAACAAATAACCTCAATGATTAGTAAATGCTGTTTAATCAGTCAGTGTCCTCATTAAGTTCTTCAGCTGCTGTACCTGTGTTCTGAATCACTCCATTTCTTTCTCTTTGAACGTCATCATCACAATCTGTACTGTCATCTTCATTCAATTCCCTGTCAGATTCAGCAGCAGCAGCAGCAGCAGCAGCCGCCGCCGCCTCCGCCTCTCTTACAACTTCCTCTGGATGTTCATTAGGTGCAATAAATCCGTTGTTGCTGGATATATTTGAATTATCCTTGATATCATCTTCGATGTATACTTTTTGATGGCACATTGGACAAGTATCTTGAATATACAGCCATTTCCGAAGGCAAAGTGCATGGAAATAATGATTACATGGTGTGATACGAGCAGATGTTGTAAACTCATGATAGCAGATTGCACAGACGTCATCTATTTCTTGTAAGCGGCTCCCTTTTATTTCAGGAAGTGAATTAATTTTCTTAACAGCAGTCCTACGATTCATGAATGTCTTCCAGCCATTTTTTGCTTGTAAATAGATGTTAAAATATGCATGTAGACACATCATACAAGCCCGAATTTTACTTCCTGACTCAAACATCATAGTATAAGCCCCATTTCCAAACATTACTACTCCAAATATAAATTCAATAATATTGCCTGTTGAACGAACATAGTAGACATAATCATCAAGCTTTTCCCAGAGGACATTATAGTAGCCATCAATCATGAATAATGTATAAACAGTGAGAGAAACAATTACTTTTAAGCAAAGTTCCACACAGAAGGCTGTAACGGCAAACAACCATGTGTTTAGTGCATAGTGATGCCAAAGAACATAACTGAGTAACACGGGAAGAATAAACAGGCAAGCAGAAAGAAAGAGCACAGGAAAATGTCTACGGAAAGATGACACATGAGAGGCACTGAGAGACATCAATACAGGATCTGTCATTCCATGGATGAAATGCAGGACTGCAGTTAATAAAAGGCACATGTTTCTACTTAAGCGAATAAGTCTCTCTTCTGGTCGTAGACCACTTAAACCAGTCTGAAGAGCCAAAATAAAAAATAAAACAGGTGCTACGAAGCCAAGCCGCCTGTCGTCTTCTTCATTTGATCCAATAAAGGCCAATATTCCAAGGCCCAAATAATGGGCGACTGAGGAAATTACAGCACTCATGCCCAGTACAGTCAGTGTAGAATCACACCCACTAATAATAAGATTGCAAATGAGGTCCCAGAAATCATCCCAAGAAATAAAGAAGGAATCGGTTTCATTTGCCATCCTTAAAATGTACATTAACACTGTAGCCTGAGCTGTAATTCTTGTTAGCCAAAAGACTCTCAGTATATCTGGGAAACGAATCCTCTTCCATGTGTCCTCCATTAATAACTGTAATCCATAAATTCGATACATGTGCCTCACTAAAAGATAGACATACCGTGTGGAATAATAAAACCACCTAAGTTTCACTGCCAAGACAAGCAGTGTGTTTAATGTAAGAATCAAGGAAGAAGTAAAAACTAAAGTCTCTCGGATGTGTAACGGTAGCTCTGTGATTAAGCCTATTACAGGAACCAAGAGATCCAAAATAATTAACTGTGAATAGATGGAATGAATTTGGAGCAGTGTAACGTATCCAATTCCAAATGTTAGCTGTAGAACAATGAGTGCCATCCATAGTGAGGGCCCTTTCCGAGGAAGCAGCTCAATTCCAAAAGCTGATGTGTTGTAGGCACCATAGAAGTCAATGTGCAAAGCAGCATAATAATTTACCAACACTGAAGTTGCAGCTAATAGAAAGGCTGCGCTGTACATGTAAAACTTGAAAAGTGATCGCTGTGACAAGATCAGAACAATACTGGATACAAATACACCTGAAAAAAAGAAAAGTCATTTTTAAGAATATTTTTCCACTAATAGTTATAGTATTCCTTTAATTAGGAAATGCGAACATTTAGCCTCAAGGCAATTTAGGCTTAAAGGCCAAAAGAATTTTGTAAAGTCAGTTCAATAGCAGAGGCGAAACATTATTTTTAAAAATCTTATTAGAATTCTAATTTCCAAAGTATTCAAGTAGTACCGAGGCATCAAATTACTAAATTACCTTCAAGATGAGTTTGTAGTGACACATATTAACAAACATGTCCTTCTTAATTTCATAATCATTAAAATATTTACAATAATTTCATTACACAAACATTAGAATTAAAAATAACCAAAATGGAAAACATTTGTTCCTATTAAATCTTAGAATTCTTTTTAAGTGTTCTTTAGGAAATCAAGTTTAAGTTTTATACTTACATCTAATTCCTCTTCCTCAAATTGAACTCCTGCTGGCTCTTATTTTTCCTGCTCCTTAAGCATTCTCCCGTGTCCGAATTCAGTTGTTTTTTTCCCTCTACATATTGCAAATTTCAAAAATGTCCTTCAAGTTCCCTTTTTCCTATATATTACTGAATCTTTTTCTTCAAATAGTCAACCCTTTTTATTGTTCTTCAGATTACAAAAGTATAACATTCAGAAAACCAAAACATTTAAAAAACGGTAGTAAGTCTCCCCTCCCCACTTTATACCTAACCAGTGGATGGTCCGATGTATATCCAGAACCATCTTTCTTTGTGCTCTGACACATTTGTAAGTGAGACTGCAATAAACATTATTATCCAAGGTTTCAACTATGGCAACGATATCCAAATAGCCACCTAGTACCACTTCTACATTACAACTGCAACACTCAAAATTTCTAAAACCTAACTCGCTTCAAATGGCTCGCTCTTGTGATTTCCAATTTCAGTTAAAGGTATATTATTCTTTTTTTAAAAATGTGGGGTTTTTAAATTGATTTCAGAGAGAGGAAGGGAGAGGGAGAGCTCCATAGAAACATCAGTGATTAGAGAGAATCATGGATCAGCTGCATCCTGCAGGCCCCCTACTGGGGATTGAGCCCACAACCTGGGCTTGTGTCCTGACGGGGAATTGAACCTGGACCTCCAGGTTCATGGGTCGATGCTCAACCGCTGGGCCACACTGGCTGGGCCCATTATTCTCTTAATGGTACCTTCTAGCCCTGGCACCCTCAAACTTGACACTTAGTCTCCAAATTCTACTAACACCTATTATCTTTCCTTTTCACCAACTTACTAGTTTGTCCTTAAAAACTCACCTTGTCCAAATCTACAAGCCATCACCAACATGCCTTTCTTCATTTCTTTGCTCAAAATACTGCAGTGGCTCTGAAATAGTAACCAACTAAAATCTGTCTCTCTCATCCTAGCAATCAAGGATTCAGCTGGCCTCAGAGTAATACTCCTCCCAAAGCACACACCAAAGCTCCAGACTTCTTTTCCAAACACACCCTTTCTGTGCCATAATAGCAGCTGTGTTTACATTTTTCTCTACTTAGCATAATGGCCCCACCAACGCCCAAGTACCCGACTGTTCAAATCTTATCCATCTTACAGACCCGCTTTCTCTGAGTGTGACTGTTCCCCTTCAGCATACCGACAGATCCTGGTGAAATACCTAATATTCATATACTACCTGATATTGTAGTTTGTAGTTATCTGAGTGGGTATCATCTACCCTGTTATGTCTCTGATAGCAAGCAAGGATGCTACCTTGAACATCTATGGATCCCAAAATATTTTGTAGAAAAAAAGTAAATTAATATTCACTGGGAAACTAAATGTTTCTGTTGAATTCTGGATTATGTTTTTAAAGGCAACTACAAAATACAGTCCACTTGGAGATTGAAATTTATGAACAGGTAAGACAAAGCTAAGAAACCAGAGCTTGGAGTATAGGAAAAGTGACAAACTCCAAATGAAATATCTATCCATACACACCTTATTACAGCATATACTTGAGAAAGACTGCATATTACTGTGGAGGTATATCATAATCCATTGCATGTAAAAGAAAGGGCTAGTTCCTCTAAATCAGAGGTGAGGAACCTTTTTTCTGCCAAGGGCCGTCTGGATATTTATACCATGCAAGGGTCATACAAAATTATCAACTTAAAAATTAGCCTGCTGGTCACGTGCGGGAGGCAAACAATCGATGTGTCTCCCTCCCATTAATGTTTCTCTACCCTGCTCCCTTCCACTCTCTCTGAAAAGCAATGGAAAAAATACCTTCGGGTGAGGATTAGGAAAAAAAAAAAATTGCCTGCTATATTTGGTAAAACATTTAATTGAATATATTGAATTTTGAGTCCCGCCTGCAGTTGCCTTGGCAGGGCCAGACCAGATACGGCCCATGGGTGGGCTATTCCTCACCCCTGGCTCTAAATGATGACTTTGCTCATGAACTTAAAATTTACCCTGTGCCAGTCTGTCAAGTCATTTATGAAAAAAAGCAAAGGACACAATCACCTAGAAGATATATAAATTTCTGCATGAAAACCACCTGATTAATTTCCAGAGCAAGTGGGCCACTAATATTCTCCCAAAGAGCTAACAGGTGGGTACAGGCCCTTTAAAACGGACTGCCCTGGCCAGTGTGGCTCCGGTCTGGGCATTGTCCTGTGCACGGAAAGGTTGCAGGCTTGACTGCAGGTAGGGGGCATGCAAGAGACAGCAGATTTTTGCTCTCATGTGGGTTTCTCTCCCGCTCTCTAAAAAAACAAAACAAAAAACTTTATTTTTTTTTTTTAAAGGGCTTTTTTGAGCAGGATTAGGAATATTTTCCATGGAAAGAGGAAATGAAATTAGCTCAGACACTATGTATATGTAATCTTACTTTCTCTACATAGAAAAACAAAGTATGTTCCTGAGACAAAACTTGAAACTAATCTCCTAAAATGAATCAAAATAACTTCAATTCTAGTTTATACAGATTAAAAAGGAGAAAGTCAAGCAGGGACTGTAAATTAATTTTGTCAGCTTGCTACTCACAAAGTGGTAAATTAACTGTTGCTTGTGAATATTCATGAACTTCGTTGTACTTTATTAACCAGTCCTTTTTACTCTAACAGATTTTCCCCCTGAAATTTATTTTTACACACAAATGAAGGAATGATTTGGGTTTTAGAATTATGTCTGGAGAAAAAGTGCCATTTTGCTTTATGCAAATATACCAAGGGAAAAAGTGGGGGAGGATATGATAGACAAATAATGTAGTAAGACTACAATCACAAGGGTCAGATGTGCCCTAACTAGTAAGTAACAATCTGATACTACACTTTGACTAAAATCATACCCCCAAGATGTAATAAAGACCAAACACTTCAAGAATAGCATAAAATTGTTTAATTCTTACCCAAAGTTTGCATGTACATGGGGTTCTTAAGTTTTTCTTTTATACTCATGGTCCTATGTGTGGAACGTAGGAGGAATCAGCTCTCATTTTACAGAAGCGAAAAAAAAAGTCAACTTCCCAAGTAACAAATTTCAACACTCCCTTTCCTGGCCTTTGGTCTTCAGTAACTTTTACCAGTAGCATCAAAGTTTTGTTGCATTTCACAACTTCAGACATAAAACACTGTTATTTACCCTGTAGACCTAAGAAAATTAAGCCCAGGGATACTGTTTCTTATCAGCACTTAAGAGTGACCTGCATAAGGAATCAAGGCTATATATAAATGATGCTTTATTTAAATAACCATATTGGGACACTGGAGAATAGAATTAACTGAAATCACAATTCAGGGATCCAACTTACCAATGATTAGTGTTTCACCAAAGTTCTTGAGGTAGGAAAAGAAGCAGATTATCAAAATCAATTCAGGAGCTTTGAAGCTATATGTGAACTCAATTCATGAAGAGTTCAGGGCATTTACAATTTGGATTACCCAAAATAAGCAAACAAAAATAAGCAAGGGGAGGGGGTTCCATAACATGTTACACAACAGTGATAACTCTTATGTGGAAAGTCCATTCATAGTGTAACCTTTTCTGGAAATTTGGGACTAAAAATTAGAAGGAAACAGAGAACATAATATTTATAATCCTCCAGCTACCTTAAACCTTTAAAACATAATCTAAAGCAAGCGGTGGAAAAATATTTCAGTGCCAGACAGAATAAAGATGGAGCCCAGAAATAAATGTTATGACTACCTCACTCCCAAAGGAGCCCTAACCAATGAAATGCAAGACAAGGTAAACAAAACTGAAATGGCAATCTGTCGGTGTACTTTATAAACTATAGCATAAAGAAAATTTTTTCTATCAAACTCTCATTTTAGGTTAAATAGGGGTATCTTAAGTTTTTTAGTAAGATAAAACTAAAATCTTGCTTTTCTTTTTGTTTCTTTATTGTTGAAAATATTATAGATATCCTCTTTTTACTCCCATTGATCCCCTCCACCCTGCATCCACGCCACCCCCAGGCCTTCCCCAGAGCAGTGTCTGTGCCCATGGGTTATGCTTGTAAACATGTAAGTTCTTTGATTAATAGCTCCCCACCCACTCCCCCATCCCCACCTTCCCTCTGAGATCCCGCAGTCTGTTCCATGCTTTTATGTCTCTGGATCCATTTTGTTCATCAGTTTATTTTGTTTATTATATTCCACATAAGTGAGATCATGTGGTACTTGACCTTCTCTGAGTGGCTTATTTCACTTAACATAATACTTTCTAGTTCCCTCGATGCTGTCCCAAAGGATAAAAGTTTTTTGTTTTGTTTTTTTACAGCTGCATAGTATTCCATGGTGTAAATATGCCACAGCTTTTTTATCCACTCATCTAATGATGGGCACTTGGGCTGTTTCCAGATCTTAGCTATTATAAATTGCGCTATGAACAAAGGGGTGCATAAATTCTTTGTGACTGGTGTTTTGGGTTTCTTAGGATATATTCCTAGAAGTGGGATCACTGGGTCAAGTGGCAGGTCAATTTTCAATCTTCTGAGGAAACTCCATACTGCTTTCCATAGT